TTTAATGCACAATTTGAGAATGTTAATGTCAAAGAAACGGTGATATTTTTTAATAGGTCGTTTAATTACGTCTTTAAGATTACAATGACGCTTTCAGAATCATGTTTGGTTGAAAATTAACGCCTGTACAGAGGCTTAAAGTTCATAACTTTTGGAGCCTCCGCTATAAACAAATAGAATTGTGCGAAAACTATTGCACCTACAGCGCCCACTTTTGGCACACTTTTAAAGTATGACAAAACCCTCAACTTATAAAATTTTAACAATAAATGCGATAGTTATAAACAAATTAAAAAATGGGCACTTGTTTTTTTTTGCATGACTTTTTTGTTTATTAACCGATTTGAATTTAACAAGTCTCATTTTGTAGATAATTTTACTCCCTATAAGCTGTCTGTGAGTCACTTTTCGCTAAAATTGATGGTTTTCCCTGCAAAGTGAAAAAACTGATTTCCTCACTTATTAGTTTAAATAGAAAAGTTAGCTACTAAAAGTTTTTGACTCACAAGACGAGAGATGTCTTGTATTATGTTCCTTTAGACAATTTTACAATAATCTCGCGGATAGGACTTTTTTCGAGTTTTCCTTTTATTTTCGCTAATTTTCCTGGTGCATACAGTGAGGACGCTTGGGTTGGAACAAATTCATTTAAAATTCAGGGGTTTGTTTTATGGAAAGAAACACGCACACGTCGATATTTATTTTTGACTGCTGTTTTTCAGGGTGGCCCACAATTAAGTTACGACAATCATCTTCATTTTTTCAAATAGAAATACCTATTTTTTTTTCCATGTACCTACCATATCCTATACCTAAACTCAACAGTTATCGAGAAAGTTACGATTTATTTATTTATTTATTTATTTATTTATTTATTTATTTATTTATTTATTTATTTATTTATTTATTAATAAAACAGAACAACAAATGAAATTAAATGTTCAAATTGTTGACCATTAACTTCCTGACAATAGTTAAGTTGAACTTCAAATTCTCGTAACACTTCAGTTAACGTTTGGGGCCGGATTTGTTGCATTTCTGCTCTAATTATATTCTTCAATTCTTTAATATTTTCAAGTTTATTGAAGTAGACTTCAGACTTCAGCTAACTCCATACATAAAAATCCAATGGGGTTAGATCTGGAGACCTAGCTGGCCATTCGATAAAACCTCTCCTTCCGATCCATCTATTTGTGAAAATATTATGAAGGTTATCTCGTACTCTTCGCGAATAGTGTGGAGGCGCTTCATCCCAACCATATCGAATCTGCCGGTATATTTGGGTTCTCACCATTCGGATAAAGTGCAGTTAAACTGGGTATTATGTAATTTTGTAGTAAGACTAAATATTTTTCAGAGTTAAGTGTGCTCTTAATAAAAAAGAGACCCACTATTAAGGTACCCACAATTCCGGCCCATACGTTTACTTTCTGGGGGAATTGTGTAAGACTTCCATACTCCAGTGCGGGTTTTCTGGTGCTCAATATCGAAAATTGTACCTGTTTACCGAACCATTCAAACAAAATGTTGCCTCGACGGAAAAAACTGTCTTACTTAAAAATTGCGAGTTGGCATTGCATCTATCCATCATTATTTCGCAAAATTCTAATCTGCGGACGCGATCATCTTCAATAAGTTCTTGAACTACATGTACTTTGTATGGGTGCCATTTGTTCTTCTGTAAATATTTTAGAACAGAAGATTTAGTTATTGACTGTNAAATTGCGAGTTGGCATTGCATCTATCCATCATTATTTCGCAAAATTCTAATCTGCGGACGCGATCATCTTCAATAAGTTCTTGAACTACATGTACTTTGTATGGGTGCCATTTGTTCTTCTGTAAATATTTTAGAACAGAAGATTTAGTTATTGACTGTTCTGCAGCTATTTGTCGAGTTGATTTGTGAGGATTTTCTTGTAAATCGAGCAAAACATTCAATCGTGCGTTTTCTGGAACTGTAGTAGCTCAAGTAGTTGTTGTAGTTGTTACCGCTGCTGTTGTTGTCGTCGTTATTGATGCTATTGATCTACAACAACAACGGCAACAACTACAACAACAAAAACAACAACAACAACAACAACACCAGCACCAGTAGCAACAGTAACAACTAAAGCAGACTTCTTTAATCTATAATAGTATTCCTTACTAAGTACAAAAACAACAACAACAAAATCAACAATAGGACCAACGACAGCAATGACATCTACAACAGCAGCAGCAACAGTAAGAAGTAAAGCAGACTGCTTTAATCTATAATCAGAGTATTCCTTACTGTGGTAGTCAAAGCATTCCTTGCGAACTCGGTAAAATGCTTCGTATCCTCCTTACGGATAATGTCAACGAAGGAAACCAGTTCAAGTAACAAGATTTAAGAGCGTTATCAACATCGTTGCCTTGGATTAGACGTTGTCGTTGTTATTGCTGTTATTGATCTTGCTGGAGCTGCCGCTTCTGTTGTTGTTGTTGTTGTTGTTGTTGTTGTCGTTGTTGTTGCCGTAGTAGTAGTAGTTGTTGTTGTAGTTGTTACCGCTGCTGTTGTTGTCGTTGTTGTTGATGCTATTCATCTACAACAGCAACAACTACAACAATAACAACAACCACAACAACAACGACAGCAATAACATGTACAACACCAGCAGCAACAGTAACAACTAAAGCAGACTTCTTTAATCTATAATCAGTTGGTTGGTTTTGTAATTGTTTCTTACGTGGCCACAGTCTCTAAACTTTTTNTGCGGACGCGATCATCTTCAATAAGTTCTTGAACTACATGTACTTTGTATGGGTGCCATTTGTTCTTCTGTAAATATTTTAGAACAGAAGATTTACTTATTGACTGTTCTGCAGCTACTTGTCGAGTTGATTTGTGAGGATTTTCTTGTAAATCGAGCAAAACATTCAATTGTGCGTTTTCTGGAACTGTAGTAGCACAAGTAGTTGTTGTAGTTATTACCACTGCTGTTGTTGTCGTCGTTATTGATGCTACTGATCTACAACAGCAACGGCAACAACTACAACAACAAAAACAACAACAACAACAACAACAACACCAGCAGCAACAGTAACAACTAAAGCAGACTTACTTAATCTATAATAAGAGTATTCCTTACAAGTACAAAAACAACAACAACAAAATCAACAATAGGAACAACGACAGCGATGACATTTACAACAGCAGCAGCAACAGTAACAACTAAAGCAGACTTCTTTAATCTATAATCAGTTTTGTAATTGTTTCTTACGTGGCCACAGTCTCTAAACTTTTTTTCTAACTTACTAACTACCGATCGTGTAATAGACTTCTCTGGGTACTTATCATTAAGCAATTCGCAAACTTCAGCTTGTGTTTGAGTACTGTCGCCATATCCTGCTATCATCATAATTCCTATTCGTTGCTTCTCAGTTAAACACAACATTCTTTCAAGCTTTACAACTGCACTTGACAATTACCTACTTATTTTAAGCCAAATCGTCAGAACTTCAGAAATCAAGTCGAAAATACTCTGCTCAACAATTGAACCGGATATTTGTGATTATCTTGAAATATTAATTCAAAAAAATTGTTAAAATTATTACATTGCATACCTACTGGCAATGGGGTCACTATTTTTTGTTATTTTTTCTTTTCCTGTGGGGTTTGAACATTTAATTTGATTTGTTGTTCTGTTTTATTAATAAATAAATAAATCGTAAATTTCTCGATAACTGTTGTGTTTAGGTAGAGAACATGGTCCTACATCAAACATACTTAGAATTCGGTGTAAAATTCAAAACTGAAATAAAAAATAAGTATTGAATTTGAAAAAATGATACGTTGATTGTCGTAACTTATGTTTGGACCACCCTGTATGCGTGAATGCCCATCAGAAAAACTTCAGTTAAAAATAAAAATAGACGTGTCCCTGCGTTTTTCCAAAAACAAACCCCTTATTACACTTTCATTTACGAGCTTCTGTCATAGATTTCTGCTGAACGGTGGGCAAATTCGTGGGAAAGTGGTCAGTTAATTAGCGTCGCGTTTGCTTTCGAGACAAATACGCATACTAATTGTAGCATCCGCTCTTAAAAGCTGAAAAGAGTCGCACGCCTATCGACTCAATTCACTCGTATGGCCATTGATGTCACATATTATGCACTACTCTTTTGAATAATAACTCTAATCGACCAAGAAAACACTGCTCTTGCGGATGGTGTCATCTGCATGGCACATAGGGAGGATATCCGCTGCGTCAGTGCAAAAGTGAGCAAAAAGATAATACTCCTATTTGTGCTTGCCACTTTAGTACAATATACGCCACCCCTTTGCGATATTTTCTCTTGATGATTGAGTTATACATGTTCCAATTTAAGTCTAAACGCATTCACCAAAACATAAAAGTTTCTACACTGAAGGACGTATCTTTTAGCCATAATACATTAAAAGACCGAAAATAATTATCCTTTACTGCCTCTTAGAAAATTTAAAATTTCTGCGGCAATAGTTTATGATAAACTTTCTACATCCAAACTATTGCAAACAATAAAGACACGGAAACAGTTGTTGGAAAAGATACTTGTCACTGGAGATATGTAAATATTTATTATCCTGAAAGATGATATTATTATCCTAACAATGGAAACGTTTTCTAGGCAGTCCTTTATGGTGAATAATATAACAGAGTTAATGATCACAATGATATTTAGAATACAAGGTTAAATAGATATCTTTTTAATGGATCTGTACCTAGTGTTTTAATTTTTCTTTACTTAATTTTTAGTAAGTTTTAATTGACTAAATATGTTATCATTATTACATACATTTTGTATCACTTTATTGAGTTTGTGGATACTAACGAGCATTATTCTTCTCTTGTTATTTATTCATTTATTGCCAGTGGTACTAAACATGTTTCGTTGAATTAATTTAAGTTAAATGTCCAATTTTTAAAAGGCATATTTGTTTATACAATATTTGTACCTATGTCTTTAATCTGATTCATATTTTTTTTTTATTTCAGTGTGCCAAAGGATGCAAGTTATGGCGAAAGGCTCTAAGTTTAACATGCCAAGATGCATGTGTAAGTAATAAATATTTATTTTGATGGGTAATTAAAGTTATGAAACCAAAAAAAAATCTATTTACTTCTATAAGTAATGCAATAGTTGACCTATTAGTATAAGCATGATTAAATAACATTAATTAAAACACACTCACATTGTTGCTTTAAATTGAATAAACTAAAATTGCACACATAGAAGTAGTCAGGAACTTGTCCATTGGACATTTTTTTATGAAAATTCAAAAACAGAAAATTTAAAAACATGTTTGAGGCAAATTTCTGGTTGCCTCTTTACCAGGTGCCCAGAAAAGTCGGGAACACGCTTAACCATAGACTTCTGCGGGATTAAAAATAGAAGATTTAGATCATCTTATTTATAAGAAGTGGATCTTATTTGTGGAAGGGCGAAATGGACGGTGACTATTAGACGTCTTCATTATAGCGATCTTTCTCTATCGCACGGATTTCTATGACTTTCTTTATCGCTCTCACGTAACGGCCGATGAACCATGGGGACTTTCCGACCCTGTAGTTAAAAATAAAGGCGGTTTATTCTTGAACGATTTTTATATTCACCCTGTACATGCAAGATGAAAGTTCTCCATGCCAACCGCATTTTAAAGACAAGCAAAAATTTTAATTAAGAACGTTTTTTTCTCATAAAATGAAAAATAAAAATATTTTCCGTCTTTTCCATATTATAATTTCATATACAGTGTAGGAAAGTACCGATGGTCTATCACAAGTTACGTGAGAGCGATAAAGTAAGCCATAGAAATCCATGTGATAGACAAGGATGGCTATAATGAAGGCATCTAATACGCCCATTTCGCCCTTCCACAAATAAGATCCACTTCTTATTTGTGGAAGGGCGAAATGGGCGTTGACTATTAGACGCCTTCATTATAGCCATCCTACACTGTATATTATATATGAAATTATAATGTGTACTCAGATCCCTGACTGTTTCAATCCTGGACTGCATTCTGCATTATATCAAAATACAAGTAAATTATACAATTATTATATCATTTATTTTATATTCGTAATAAAGGAGTTTTTTTAGCAAAACATATTTTATGTTATGATCCCACATCCACTGATATATTTTATTTAAATCATTTGGAAATGATTGTATTTAATTGATTTCGACATTAATATAATTTTTAAGTAATCTGCAAAAAATAAATATTATGATATAGTAATCATTTTGGTTAGACTGTAAATGTAAATTAGAAATAATAGTGGTCGAAGATTAAAACCCAGAGACAGCAATGAAATAATTGGATGCACATATAGACACATAACTACTGTTTTCTGGTATGCAAAAAGTTGTAATTTAAGAAAATTGAAAGTTTGTTTTTATATTTATAATGATTTAAGAGATCATATGATACAAAATCGAATGCTTTCTGAAATTCAGTATATGTAACATCTACTTGACTTCCGTCATGTAAGGTTTGAGATCGGGTTTCAGATACCTATGTACTGAGTGATATTAATTGAACTGCTAAACTAAACTGTTGATATATGTTTTATAAAAGCATGCGATAATATCCTATTATCACAGACAAAATAGCTAGCTATACAGTCTGTGCTCTTATATTCTGAACTGTACATACATTCATTTGAAAATTATAAAATATATTCATAAATTTTTGCTGATACTGAGGAATACCATTTGTCTGTATTTTTTACATGTTATCGAAAACGAGAATGTGAACGAAAAATTCAGATGACGCCGTTACACACAAACAATTAAACATGGTAGAAGTTTAGATTCGTGGAAAAATGTTTCTTTAAATTACAAAATCACCATCCTATAGAACAAAACTTAATGGCAATAATAATTTATTCCATACTTTTCTTCCACACGGTATAAGATAATGGCATAAGGAGTGTGTATTTTTTGTGGTCTCCATCCTTTTCCCTTGTCCAATAACCATTTTATACACGTATATGTGCATATTTTCTAATAAAACCTTGTTTTTTAAACATTGTCTCTTATGAAATTTTGATATACCTATGTAATTTCTAGAAAAAAAGAAAAAAATATTCGGGTTTAAAGGTTTCCTAAGGGGTAAAGGTCCACTTTTTTTTATTATTTTTGTGTACATTCATTTCCCCAAAAAATAAGAATAGAGTTCTTGCATACCCTATATTTCACTACATTTATTGCAGAAGTTTTCTCTATTTTATTCGAAATCCTTACTAGATATTAAAATTTCTGAAAAAATAAATAAATCTTTAAAGATGAATAAAGTTATGTTATCGTCAATGGGACGGGGACCCCAAAAAATAACACCCTGTATGTCATTTTCTTTCAGTTTCTAGTAATACATTACTCTTAAGTAAATAAAGATGTATGTATCTCAAACTGTTTTAAAATTATATGTGTATAAGTTTTTTGGTCATTTGTACCACACTGACAATGAGAGACAATATCTCAGTAGAAATTGACTTTTGTATAGACAAAACGTTTCGTCTTGTTTTGATCCCATGAGCCTATGATCAAGCGTGCCCCCAACCTTTTTGACACACCAAGTAAAATGGTTTTAATTGTAAAGTTAAAGACACAGTACGACTCTCAATATCAAAAGATTTTTGTTTAATTCCCATAATTGCTATTTTCGATTTACGTCGCATATTTTTCCACTGTAAAGGATTTGTTAACAAATTTTTATAGAATAGCACTGCCGAGAGACCGACAACTAAAGAACTGTACTGCGTGATGGGCTGCAACGACGCCATAACGAAGTATTTTACCCAACTGAGAGTTCTCCTGGGGCTTCCCCCAGCACCGGCTCTCTTGGCTGACTCCTTAAGCGCAACTTCCCTGAAACTGGAGTGGAACTTCTCGGTGGCTCGGAAAGCAGGGTTAAGTTGTCACCTTCAGTGGAAGTACGAAGAACTTTCCGCTTCGTGGCAGTACTGTAGGAACGTTAGTTGGGACCAGGACAGTACCATATTTTTCGTCGAAGACTTGCAACCGTATACGAAATATAGAGTAAGTAACTAAGATTTCAAAATTATTTGTAATGGTAGAATTTACAAATGTTATTCTGTAGAGGAATCACTAAATCAAAAAATACTGCCTTGGTTTGTTTTTGTTTGATTATTACCAAAATATAAAATAAGTATCCAATTAGCATATTTCAGGTAATAACCATAGTTATAGTCCTGAATAATATGTAATAAAACAACGAAACATCAACGATTACATGGTTTTCTCGGCTTATCTGTAGCCGTTATTTCTTTTGTAATTTGTGGAAAAATGGCAGTTACTAACTAGACTTTAAAAGAGTCAAGATTTTTAATTTTTTAATGATACTTAACACTTTCTCATTTTCAAAACTTAAGAAAATCAGTGGTGTACATTTTTTTTCTCCATCAATACTGATATAAAAAATTATTTTTAAGTCATAAATGAAGCTCGAATAAAGCACGTTTTGACACAATTTTATCGTTTACCGACAATACAGGGTGATTCACAACTTTTATCCAAAAAAATTTGGAAATAGATGCGGCATGAGAAATGGAGTCGGTATCGTAAAAAAAAATTGTAAAATCCTTATTGTTACCGAGAAAAAAATTATTGAAGTTGTAGTACTTTCAACCATTACATAGCTGGACAACTCTGTAGTCTCTAGCGTCATTCGTAATACGCGTGGAGAACCACGTGGCCTCAGCGATTCCGAATACTGAAATCCCATTTTACAGCCGTCGTAGTCATAGTGTTTACAATAGTATTTTAATAGTTAGTGTCAAAAATGACTTGCGTGTATAGCAACTCGGACTTGATAGATATCGTTTTAATTTATGGTAAAGCAAGAAAACATTTGTATTATGGTAAAGCATTTGTGTTATGCTGAAATAAAACAGCATTTATGTTAGTTCGTAGAAACTGAGTAAGACGGACCCAAATGTGTTTACACATCGGTGGACAAAATTTTGAACAGTTGTAACATCGAGTATGCCAAATTATTTTATTATTTAAAACCACAAATTAATTTTATTAATTAATAATAACAATAGCGGCAAAATTAGTTGAATTTCAAGTTTTTGTCCGTTTTTATCACTGTCGCCGTGACGGTTACATTGTGCCAGGTCAGGTTTTACAGTGGACCAGTTAACAATACCGTGCAGAAGTGTATTTTTAAATTATTTTCGAACTGCCCTTTTTGATTTTCGCTTTACAAAATTGTATTTGTAAGTCCCAGAATTTTTTTTTAATAAGTTCTGAATCACCCTCTATACAGTCTGTACTAACAGAAAGTTATAAAATGTTATACTTTCGTATTACGAATTATACTCGACGGCCAAAATTATAGATAGAGATTCATCGCTAGCTCTTGGACTAGTAAGGGGGATGAAGCGTGCCGGGAACGAAAATCCATTGGCGTGTCTGCGTAAAAAGCAACAAGGTATAGAAAATATTGAAAAAACATAATAAAACATAACATCTAATATTTTTTACGGTTTGCTATAACCGGCACTTTGATCAATTTTAATTATTACAGCATTTTAAAACGTCCCAGTTGTGTTTTTTTAATTTATAAATTTATTATAGCCATGGAATTAGACCCCTCGTCTACGCTTATGCTATGACGTTTCTCAGGTCGGGCAAATCAAGTCCGTTTACACCCACTAAAAAAGCATTTCCCTATTCCCTGCCAAGTGCAAAAGACAGAGATAAAATATAGATCGACGTTCAGTTTAACTCAGTTTATACACGATTATAGATTCTACCGATGTGCATGGCGAGCGGCACAAAGATAAATAATATTGAACCGTATAGAAATCATTTTATATTGTATACGCATTATGGTAATAGTGTTTTTATATTATGTATTAGTCACTCTTTATAATTTCGGCCGCCGAGTATAGTCGCCATGGTTTGCAAAGAGTTGAATTTGATTTGTAAACAGGTTAATGTCATTAGCAAATAGTGGAATTTGCAAACCTATATCAGAAATTAATGAGTGATTATTTGGAGCAAATCTACTTTTTTTCAGTTCCGAGTGGCGCTCATCCTTGGCTACCACGGCCACCACGGTGACCCCATCGTATCCTCTCCTAGCCTCGTGATCAGCACGCTGGCCTCAGGCGTCCCGGCGTCCCCGCCAACGAATGTACGAGCCACTCCAGTCGACTCCACAAGTATAAGCATCAGCTGGGAACCCGGCCCATTCCCGCACGGCCCTCTCCTCTCCTACGTGCTCCACATTACCGATAGTTCCCCCGAGGTTCATTCAGAAGTCAAGGTGTGATAACGATCTAACCAGCGCTGCTTGACTCTTCGCTGCTGCTTTGTCTTCTCTACATTTTCTACTCTTTAACTGAAGATAAACATGCATTGTTATGAAAAATAAAGTCTACTACGCTTTCTTGAAGATTCTAATCTCAGTTCTATCTTTCGAACGTTTATTACAAATTTTAAGCTATGCACAAGCAAAAGAAATGTTGAGGTGAGCATATCGACGGCGCAAAATGCAGAAAAATCGACGTAATTTCAAAGCTACAAATTTTAAACGTCGTTGTTATAAATAACAAACACATTTTCAGAAACCAGAATATATTCAACTTAGGTATTGTTAATATCTATACAGGGTGTCCAATATTCTATGTATCATCATAGCATCCTACGATCAAAATAAGCAGATTTAGCTCTTTCCTAAATACCCTCTCCCTTCAAGTAAACTGCTCATAACTTTGTCGGAGATCATGCTATAGCTTATATATTTTTTTTTTTTATTTAGATGAAAAGTTTGTTAAAAATGTTGGAAAATTTTAATATTTGAGTTTATAAAAAGCTTTTGGTCTTAAGTTGAAAGTAACTTAACTCTAGCCTTAGTCTTAATTTTAAAATTTTTAGTAAAAATTTGGTTTTAATTTGCCATCCATATATTAAGAATTAACCAATACCTACGTTATTACACATTTAACTATCGATTTGGTCTACGTCAATAGTAATTATATAAAAAAGAATGGCCACTGAGATACCCATATCTAAATCTAACAGAGTCTATTGTGGCAGTATAGCCCGGTATTATTAAATGCTTTTAGACTATATATTAAATTAAATAATAAACCCATTAGATTCAAACGTTTTTCCTTTTATTTTTCTTGTAGAAGGCAATTCCTACCGGAAAATTAGGAATATTCAGATTTAGATTTGTTTACATGAAAGATTCTTAATTTTTCAGAAAAAAATGCATCCTTAATTTTTTGATTTACTTTAAAACACTGTCTATTGTATATTATACTGAGACAGTATCTACAAAGTAAATAAAACTTAAAAATATATATGTCATGCGTATACCGGAACTAGATCCTGGAACCCTCACCAATATTGGAAGCATGCAATCCTAATCTAAATCTAAGGACTTTACCAAAAGAAAAACTAGAGTATCATCTTTTAATGGTACCTACAGTTGATCATAGATGGTGGTCCTAAATTGTTTACCAATATTAACCAAAAGATAAAGGTACATTTGTATATGAGCTTTTCCGAAAACGGATAATAGAATGCTTACCTCTTTAAAAAGGGATGGGCAAATATTGTTTTTTTTTAATATTAGGCTTTAGATATTTTATTTATATTTGACACTTAGATTTACGACATCAGAAGACTAATCTTTGTTTATTATTCAAATCCCATATTGTTGCATAAGGGATCATTTTAGGAAGCGACTTTCACTATTTTATCGCCAACTTTTTTATTTTTACTCCCTTTTAAAAAAGTTACTGTAGATCTTCACACCATTAGGAAAAAGGTACTTTTGTTTAATTTTTACTGAAATTAACAGTTTTCAAGAAATTCTAGTTTATGTAAATAGATGCATCAGTAAAATTTCAACATGCAGCCTTTGTTTATGAAATATCATACATCTCAAAATATTTTTATAAGTTCCTTTAGTTGTGGAATCACCCGGATTTTAAAATCTGTCCAAAATAATCAATCTGTAATTATTTTCAAACATTTTCTTAAAAATCTAATTCCCTTCAAAGGACCACCAAATGCTTTATTTATTAATTTTTATTAAATATACAGGGTGTTCCTAAATAAGTGTCGCAACGGAAAACTGTAAATTTCGAGATACACTGTGTCAAAACTTGAATTTTTTTTTAGTTTTTTGCCAATATCTTAGGAACCGTTTGAACTACAGAACTGAGCATTTGTACACACATTACCACTATTAACAGTTACTTTTTCGTATCCTTCTCGAATTCATTGGACGTGAAAGTGGTGGATATTTTAAGATATCGTAACGGTTTTTTCCCCTAACTTTTACGCCAGTGGAAAAATTGACATTTGACAGCAAATTTTGAAGCGCCAATGAATTTTACACAAAAAGAGTTCTCTTGATTCATTGCTCTAAAGTTAACCGTTTTCAAGAAAAATGACTTTCTATGAACAAACACACATTTTCCTAACGTTTCGAAAATCTTTTGTAATTCAAAAAATAGGTAGGTAGTAAGTAATAATTAATAATTTTAACGAAATTTAACAACAGATAGGATTTTAACTTTTTTTTATCAATTTGGCGAGTAAAATTTACAAAAGCTGTTCAAAAATACGTTCGCGGACCTCAATGCACGCATTACGTCTTCAAATCATGTTTCTTTCTGCCGCTATCACCCCTATCGGTCAACTCTTCGATAGTATTGACATGGATTTTATAAAGGATGCATTTCAGATGTCCCCAACCGGCGGTTCGATTCTCCACCACTGGCACGTCCAATGAATTCGAGAAGGGTGCCTAAAAGTAGCTATTAATAGTGGTAATGCGTGAACAAAAGCTCTGTCCTGTAGTTCAAACGGTTCTTAAGATATTGGTAAAAAACTAAAAAAAAAAATTAAAGTTTAGACACCGTGTGTCTCGAAAACGAAAGCCCGGAGAGGAAAATGGAAGAGGAAAAAAATGTTTATTTTTTCAAGAGGAATTTACAGTTTTCCGTTGCGACACTTATTTAGGAACACCCTGTATATTATCTTGAACAATCTCTAAATGTACTCAAGTAATAAAACAATAAAGTGCTTTTTTTCAAAATGTCTGTATTTAAAAGTATATGCAATCAATGTTATATTTTAGCTTAAAATTTTCGTACCATTTTATTATTCCGTTGGCAAAAAAACTACTTTAGAGCACAGCTTACTAATGCAAACAAATTCTACTTGGTTTCCTCCCTAAGTCCTAATGTTATTTCTAATTTTCTTGTATATCTTATAGCATGCTTTTCCTTACTCTCTAGCTCTTCGCTTATTATTTGTCGTAATAATAAATATTTACTGATATGACATAAAGATAACGAAAATACCAACTAGATATTTAATTTTTATGTACAGGATATACCACCAGAAAATTCTTTTTATATGGTTCGTAATGTAAAGCCCTCAAGAAACTACGCCATTGATATTCGCATGCGAAACAACTATGGATCTGGCCCAGCTGCAACAGCTATTGTATCTACACCGTCAGAACCTCAGAGTTAGTAATTCATTCATCACCAAGATACTTATTTTAATACTTATCTATATAAAATTCTAGTGAGAGATACAGACGAAGAACCCATTTTAATCCTAGGCACTGAATACAGCATCTTTGAACTCACCCATATTCTAGGCGAACCTGTTGATTTATATCGCAGCAAAGTTCAGCTCAAAGGTAAACCAATATATAAATTTATTAGAAGACATTTAATGTGCCTTTTACATAGGTTTTGGTATCCATTTAAGCAAGAAACTGCTCTTCATAGCCGATTCAGATGGATATGTATCAAAAACACCTTTAATGGAAGGTGCACAGGAAAAAATTCATGTACTTAAGCCTCAAAATTTAGATTTTATACCACTGGATTTAACAGTGGACTGGCTTAATGATCAGTTGTACATTTTAGGTGAAGTCAAATATCAAGTTTCGAGGTACATTATCAAAAGGTGTAACCTTGACGGCAGTAATCTAGCTGTAGCTTACGCTGGTCTCAATAAGAAGCCATTTTCAATCCAGATTGATCCATTTAGTGGGTAATATTATCATATTCTTATGTTTTTCGAATAAATGAACATAGTTTTCATTTATATTTTGACTGAAAATCTGAAAATTAAAACAGTTGTTTAAGTTCTGTGTAAAATATTGTGTAGTAGTATGTACATATAAATGACTTCAATTATGAGTATCTGCATATTTATTAGATTAAATAGAGCCATTTCTTAGATTATGGTAATATAAAGTTTGAAAAGTCTATCATAACGGAGATAGGACCAAAAATACCATAATTTCGGGCAAGGATTGTTCATCTAGCAATTGATAATCTCATTTTTGCTCATTGTAGTACATTCTTTTGGCCAATTCTGTCTTAGAGATAGATCTTTCAAACCTTATATCCCTGTAATAAAGTTGGTTTGCTTCTACTTTCAATTAGTTCAAAAGTCATCGATGGAAAACCCCAAAATATTTAGGATAATTATAATTCTTTAATCAGTTGATGAGATCCTTGAATAGTATTTAGAGATTTAACCCAAACTTAAAGGTAAAGATAATGAAGCTTACCAGCAATTAGGCCATGCTTGGCCCTTTTTGCCTGCTAACTTACACTACCCTCCACCTTAACAATCACAAACATCCATGGTACGACAGGAAAATTCGAAAGAATTTTCCTGCCGCGTGCGGGATTCGAACCCACTACGGTTTTGCCGCACAGCCCTGGCTCGCCTCTGTAGGCAAGCCCTGGCCGCTTCGGCCACCGCCGCGCCTTAACCCAAACTTTGTTTAAAAATAAATACTAGAATTTGAGTACATTTTTATAATACAGTAGTATTAAAATCTACTGTACATTGTTTTAGATATTTATTTTGGACAGTACAAGATTACAACAGAGGAGGACTCTATCGTTTGGACATATCTGATATCAGCAATGGAATCAAACATGAAGTAAAAATTAAAAAGCTGTTGAATGATACTGAACTGGGTGCTTTTACTGTTGACCATACGTATTTTACCTTACTTGTATCTTACCAAAGAAGAAATACAATCATGTCTGTATCTTTAGATGGGTGTGTAAAGTACAAGAAAAACTTTATGAAATATACCTAATAATTTATTTTATTTAAGGACTGTAATCTCTGACCTAAGACCAACAGTAACGAACTCCCAATTGCAAAAAGTGATTTCTCTAGCAACAGCTAACAGAAAATTTTATTGGACTGATGGGGTTGATGTGTTCAATGAAGAGTACCACAAAGCTTATGACAGTTACTTTCACAATACCATACCTCATTTAACTAATGGCTCTTACAAGAAAGTTTTCATAAATTTACCAAGTTTTCAACCATGGCCGGTACCAATCAACCCTCCTACAAATCTTGAAGCTGTTTTTGCAAGAAATATTGCAAAAGCTAGGTGGCAGATGCCCCATTTATTAGGTGTTCAAAGTAATGTTAACTTTAATGAATACTTTGATTCAAATATAACGCGACTATATTTCAGGTAAAGGAGCATGGCAAAATTGGACATATGAAATTTCTGTAAAAGACGTTGACAATAAACAAGTTATTACATATAATAATATTAATACAACACACTTTACCATAGATAATTTAAAGGAAAATACTGAGTATGTTTTAACAGTTGCTGCTTACACAAAGTCTGGTAAAGGCCCATGGTCGTCAGAGTTTAGAGGAATTACTCTAAATCGATATAAAAATCCTATCATCCTATGGTCGGCGGCAGAAGGGCTTTTGAAATCAAATGCTGCTGGAGAGAATGTTGAAACAGTCATACATAGAAGCAAAATGAAGAAATTCCACTTTACTGACATTGCTTGGTTCAAGGACCAATTGTATTTAGTGACAAATAACTCACATGTATACTGGTACAATTTGACATCACATAAAACGGGCCAATTGGAAGATATGGAATCAGTAGGAAGCATTGCAGTCGACTGGATAGGCAAAAAACTTTATTGGTCAAATCCAAAACAGCAACTGGTTTGTATTGAAAAATTTGTAAATTCATCAACAGCAAATTAATAAATAATTCATTTACAGATTATCCGTGGCAATTTTAATGGCACTCAACAAGAACCTTTGTTAACAGTATTAGCCAAAGAAGTAAATGTCGATTCGATAAAAGCCTACATCTATTGGTCGACTGGTATTAAGCTTGAATGTGCCCATCTGAATGGAGCGGATAGAACAGAGTACCATAACGTTCAGTTTTTTTCAGGCAAACAAAGTACAAATTTGAATTTCTTTTTCATATATTTATGGATGTTTTAAAAAAATTAAAGGATGACATCCTTGTTTATTTTTATGAGGGTATGCCAGTTAAAAAGTTACAGCTGCTTTTAAGTGGAACATAGAAATGTTTTTCAATTTGCCTTTTGGCATGAACATAATACTAATGAATTGACACTGAAAAGTAACGACTTTTTCTCGCTTCACAAAAAGTTGATATAAGTTATATCATTTTGTCCTTTTCCCTCTATAAAAAAAAAAACTAGAAAATCATTTACACATTAGAGTTTAGTAATGGCAAAAATTAGAGATATCAATTATAAAAGCACATCGTTTCAATCTCAATTTTCGATTGCATTAAAAACAAAAAAAAAAACAGAAAAAAAAGGGATGCATTAGGTTTTGTCAGTTCCTCGAAGAGTTTCAAGAAAATCAGAAATATATTGATATAGTTGTACTTTAATAATAATAATAATAAGGTTTATTGACCAAAATTACAAATTATAGTTCTATAATTAGTATGGTCAATAGGTCATTGATCAGCTGAAGCTGTTCTTCCTCAAAGACCTAGAAAAATAAAATTTGTTTTTTTACATTTTTCCCAATCTATACCCAAAATAGAAACAGTATATATGAAACATTTAAAAAATATACAATGCCTTTATGTATAATATCTAACAAAAACAATAACCAAACCTGTACAAATAATCTTAACTTAAATTTAGATATATAAACTTAATATTACGTACTTACTTAACTTTGAGCACTGGTCATTAAATATATTTTTAAATATTTTTTTCTTAAATGAGGCTAAAGAGATATCTTTTAGGGAGACAGGAATGTTATTATATTCTTTTAATATCTTGTATGAATAGGAGTTTTTTAAATAGTTGTGTTTTATGTTTGGCTATAGCAGTTTTTTGACGAGTGTTTGTACTGTGAATATTTGTACAATGTTGTAATTTTCTTCCAAAGATAAAGGGGGCTTCTTTTTATTATAATTTTATGAAATAATGTTAGTGCATGTAATTTTCTACGATTTGACATATTTAACCATTCGGCTTTTTCTAATGTATGTGAAATTCTATCAAATTTTCTTATTCCATATATAAGGCATAAGCACGAATTTTGTAACTTTTGCAGGCGATTAGAATCATAAACAGAGACTTAAAACAAGAGAATCACAGAGTAATGTTTTTAATTTTATATCAAATAAATGTCTGCATTGGTATAATGTTTTTAATTTTAGATAAGACTTTTGCAGAATGAAAGAAACGTGATCGGTGAACTTTAACTTATTGTCGAATATAACACCCAGGTTTTTTGCCTTTTGTGTCGGTTGTAAAGATAGATTATCAATTTTTATCAGAGTATTATACAACAATGTTGAAAAAAACAACATAACAGATGATTTATTCGGATTAATTACTTAGCAGTGCGTTTAGGTCAGTATTAATTTCCTGTATTGCTTTTAATTCATCTTTTTTTTCAAAAAATTTATATAACTGTGTATCATCAGCATACATATGGGCCTTACAATATTGTAATACTGAAGAGAAATTGCTTGTATAGATAATTGTATATATATTATATCCCGCTCTAAACCCGGATTGTGTAGTTGGAGGAATGTAATATTTAGCAATATGATCTCGTAGTTGGTTTTCTACGATCCTTTTCAAAACTTTGGAAAGAGTAGGAAGAATGGTTATAGGGCGAAGTTCATTTAAATTTTCAGGGGAGGTAACTTTTGCTTTATTAGTACTATTCTCATACCAAAATTTGTATCTACAGCTGTTTTTGAGAAAAGTCAAAAAACATGTCTATCTATCCCCTAAAATATATTCTATCTAAGAAAGATTGTAACTTTTTAGGCTTGAATAAAAAATTTTATATAAAACACCCCACATAAGACTGAACAGGGACTCTTCCATTTAATTTTTTCCAATCGGAAACAACCTGTACAGTTCCTTTTGTTTTCATTAGTTATGGGACTGACACTGGACATGGACGAAAAATATGTATACTGGATTGTTAGAGGATCAGAAGGATCTAACCTCTACAAAGCACCGATGCAGGGTTATTGGATCGATAAAAAATACACTGCAGAAATTGTCTCTGTGTTACAACAACCAAGCATGCAAGGACCTTTGTGTTATTTTCATAAACGTCTACTTTGGCTACAGGACCATAAAAATGCTGCTATAAGCGATTTGTCAGGGAAAAATATTGCCACTATAAACGGAAAAAACATATGGGGTTTAAATATGGTGTACTTAGTGGATTCATCTTTACACATGTTACCAAGTTAGAACAAATAGTAAAATAGTTGCAGTTTGTCTTTAACCACATTACTTTCTTTCAGATAATAGTAGTCCAGGCACTAAAATCAATGTAATACCAGAAATGTTAAATAATACATCCATAAAAGTAGTTGGTTCCTCTGAATCTTTCAATGTAACTTGGAATCCTATAAAAAATGTCAACTATGGAACAGTCTTCTATGAAGTTCAGATTGATAGTCCTTCTAAGAGTGACTCAACTGTAAACTATACAACATACTAGGTATACATTTTCATATTTATTTATTTCTTTGTAGATTATAAATACAACAATTTGTTCTGTTAAATACTGGCATTATGTAAGTCCATTTACACCATTAAATGTAACTATAAGGGCTTTCACATATTGGGGTACATCACCTCAAGTACGATCAGAAATATTTTCACCCTCTTCAATACCCTCTGCACCAAGAAATTTGAGAGCTTATGTCATGTTTGAACACATTTCTCCAAATGAGGAAAAATATGTGTCTGTAATACTCAGATGGGATCAGCCACTAAACCCCAATGGACTTTTACAAGGCTTCAAAATAACATGTTGGTATATGGAGAATGATGTAAAAATAGATGTTTGTAAAAATATTGTTACCGAGTCTAATGAAACTCAGTACAAAGTTAGAGATTTGGAAAACAACAAAATGTACTACTTTGAGGTAATTTACTTTAATAATTTTAATTATTATTCAGTTGCCAATTAATAGCAAATCATTCACTGAATTTTCACTATTTATTTTAGGTCCAAGCTTTCACAGAAATCGGTTTAGGAGCAACTGCCGATCCCATTTCGATCATATCTAGTCAGGAAAAGCCATTGCCTACTCTCCTAGTTGCATCGTCAGAATCAATTTTCATCGATGATATTGACGCAAATCAGAGTCATCCTGTGATAGATACAACAGCAAATCCAATAGAACTTGCTTATTTAATGAAAGAAAATAACTTCTATTGGATAAATATTAGAAATGAATTGTTGATGTATAACACTTTAACAAAAAATCCGGTGAAGATAATTGATATTTGGGGAACACCAAAGGGGTTAACACTAGATTGGGTTGGAAGAAGTTTATACTATATTGCAACTCTCAATGAAGGTAGTGAGATGTTTATTTACAAATTAGATTTAAACCGTATTGATAAAAATGTTATCAAAAATGAGGAAGTTTTTCATACTGTGTCACATATAACATCAATTGAAGTTTCCCCTTTTACCAAAAAGTTATATTGGATTGAAACGACTGATCATATAAGGTTTCAGTTAATGCAAAGTAATATCGATGGAACTGAAATTCAGCCATTTTTCTCTCAACACAACCATAACAGGAAAGATTTAGACGGTATAAGAATTTGCAACTGTACATTTTTCCAAGAAGTCGGTCCGTCTTTCACTGTGGATCATTCAGATACCGTGACCAAGCCTCTATTTGTATTTGTCGATCCATACACTTTAAACATCATCTCAACCGATAAAGATGGTTGTATTTGTAATGTAGTAGCAAATAATACCATTATTAATAACAATTTATCTTTGGACAATTTAAAATCTGACACTGGAACTTTGTACTGGACAAATCCCTCCAAAAATTTACTTTATTTGTATAAGAAGCAAGAAGGTAACATACTATCTAAAGAAATAAACGTGTCAGACATTGATATTTTTGGGCAACATATGCAGCCTTATCCCTCAAAAGAATGCCTGAGTCCAAAACAATATAACAATTTTACAGTTTCTTTAAATTACAAAACGGCTACATCACTAAATATTTGCATGCCAGATGCAGTTATCGATGAAAACTGTAATAACTTTTCAATGGCTACAATTGCATATAATATTTCCTATAGGATATATAATAATGATGATTTAGATTGTTCCAATGTAGAAGAATGTAACGAAAAACTATCCTTTGACAAAAATGTTGATTTAGAAGGACTGAAGCCATACACAAATTATGTTGTGTCGGTATCTCTAAGTAATTACTTCACTGATGCTAATGAAGTTCTAGTTGGTTCCCCCAGTATTTTCCAAACTGCTCCAGGTGGTAAGTAAAATAGATTTTCATCTATACTTTGTTTTTTATTAATAACAACTAATTTCATAATGGCAAAAACTGAATTGATAATACAAAAACTTAGTTCAATAATAATGGAACATTCCTGATGCTTCAAATGTTTCTTTTCCGAGCTTTTCCTGTATAATTTTAAAAATACTTTTTCTTACAACTGCCATATTTTTTTAGAATACCAAGTCCTTGTTTAAAAAAACGATAACTTTGAAGACATAGAAAAAGTTGGGACTTGCTTTCATTTGTGTTTCGATTTTTTCTTTAACTAAAATTATACAAAAAGTTAAAAACTGTTGTTGAAAAACTCCTCTATCTTGAAAAAAGTATTTAAATAAAGAATGGTATAAGGAAAGTTATTATTTATGGCCAAAGAATTTATGGTCGATTTCTTAGCTTATTTTTTTATAATACCCTTAGCTTATAGAAAAATCATTTTTTTAGTCCCTTCTGAACCTCAAAATGTTACTGTACATATTATAAATCCAACTTTGGCAAGAATTAATTGGCTGCCACCGGAAGAATTGAATGGTATATTAGTGTATTATGAAATTCATTGGCAAACAGAAGGCTCCTTGTCTGGAGTAAGGCAAAAAGGCGAACAGCCAGTACCAGACACTCATTCTGAAAACAACACTATGCTTACAACACTCTTACACAAACTATCACCAAACGAAACTTACACAATATGGGTAAGAGCCTATAGCGAAACCAATGACTCCTCTAGAGATAGTGAAAAGGTACAGATAACCACTTATCCTGAACCAGCAAGTTTCATTTTGACAAATAGGACAGCTTATTCTATGAAACTTTCTTGGCAAATTATTAAACATATTAAGAATTATAGCGTAGAATATACACCAATTACATCTAACGATTGGAAACAAATCGACACAACAGAAGAGAAAAATGATAAAACTCACATTAGTATAGACGACTTGAAACCTAAAACGCAGTATAAATTCAGGCTTGTTCTTTTTTACGAGGATGATACTGAATTATATATGTGGCCATCAGATGGTAGATTTACTTTCGAAACATTAGGTACGTATATGGAGTTGTGTATTTCAAGCAAAAAGTTTCAAGTGAAATCCCCATAAAACATTAATTAATCTTTACTCACATGATTTTGGCAGAAGTAACTGAAAAATAACTCATTTTAGGTGATCGACCTAGCCCCCCTGGTATCCCATTAATTCAATATGTGAAACCAAATATATATAAAGTATGGTGGGAGGCCTCTAAAGACAATGGTGCTCCAATAGAATTGTATAAGCTAGAAGGAAAAATTCTTATATCTTACAGAAACAAAAGAAGTACCAATAGGACAGAGCCATGGTTTAATACATCCCCTTCGATAGAAATAGAAGAACCCGAATGGGAAATATTTTATAATGGAACAGGTAAATTAGACTAAACTCACTGCTTATATCATTTTTTTCTCTGATGAGGGCGCAATAATCCAAAACAGTGATAAACAAATAAATGTTTGTACTAAATTCATAAGTACCTACTCTAATTTATCTTTTCATAATTTCTATTTAAGCTTACAAAATAAAAATTATGAACTTTTACAGATACCTCTTGGATAATGGAAGGCTTAGATGACAAACAGAAATATGCTTTTCGTGTGTCTGCCTTGAATTCATACGGATGGAGCGACACAAGTGAAGAGAGTAATGAATTTGATCTAAATGAAGCTGCGAGAATGGCGGAAAAAGAAAATCCAATGAAATTAATACTTGTAGCTACAACGGTGCCTATATCTATATGTGTTATTCTAGTCACAGCATTCTGTTATGGTAAGTTATTGAAAAATTTACATTATAATCACATTAATTTGAAAAAAAAATAGTTATGTGCTCTGGAAAGCGGAAGCCAAAGAAAGTACCGCAGTTGGTGTCCATTCCTAGAGCTCCAGATGTAGAACTGGCTACGTTAAGGGAATTGCCACGAAGAGGAGTCCATAATACAAATGTTCTTTATGTGTCAGCTCAACAACCTCCAGAAGAAATAACCCTGTTGCCACATATAAGAAGGTAGAATAGTCTTATCTGAATTGAAATGATGTATAGTACTAATAAATTTTAGAGATCAAATAACATTAACAAAATTCTTGGGAAGTGGCGCATTTGGGGAAGTATTTGAGGGCAAAGCTAAAGGAATTGAAAATAGCAATGAAGATACGAAAGTTGCTATAAAGGTAAGTTTTTATCCACTGCAAGTGCTTAACAATTATTGCATTAACATTTACAGACCTTAAAAAAAGGTGCATCAGATCAAGAGAAGAGTGAATTCCTTCAAGAAGCTCAACTTATGAGTCACTTTAAACACAAACATATTCTACAACTTCTTGGAGTTTGTCTTGACAATGACCCACACTTCATTATAATGGAGCTTATGCAAGGGGGAGACTTACTTACATATCTAAGAGATTCCCGTAATCCATCAGTGAGTAAAACAGATAAAAATTGCATTGAAATAAAATTCATAATAGCTGTCTTTTTAAGTAACAAGCGAACAATCAAACAAGCATAGCTTTGTATCCTAACATAAACGATTTTTTTTAAGTGAAATTGAAACACTATCTTATAGGAGAATATGAAAATTAAAAAAACTTCAAAAAAATCTTAAAACAATAAATCTACATTAATGTAGATATTTTTTAAAACTATTTTAAATTATTTATATCACTTCATTATAGCAATTATGTAAAGTATTTTTCAATACACGTTCCTCAAAATTAATATTTCTATATTCAATTATAAATTTTAAATCTGTTACAGACAAATACTCCTACATTGAATCTAATGGAACTCCTGAAAATGTGCGTAGATGTGTCGAAAGGATGTAAATATTTGGAAGAAATGCATTTTGTTCACAGAGATCTAGCTTGTCGAAACTGTCTTGTGTCGTCTACAGAAACTGAATCAAGACTAGTAAAGATAGGAGACTTTGGTTTAGCTAGAGACATTTACAAGAACGATTACTATCGAAAAGAAGGAGAAGGCCTTCTACCAGTCAGATGGATGGCGCCAGAATCCTTAGTTGATGGTGTTTTTACTAGTCAGTCCGATGTTTGGGCTTTTGGAGTGCTTTTATGGGAAATCATGACGTTGGGACAACAACCTTATCCGGCTAGGGCCAATCTGGAGGTGCTGCACTATGTCAGGAGAGGTGGGCGATTGGGAAAACCAACTGACTGTCCAGAAGAATTGTAAGTTTGACGAACTAGTTTAGTAATGATTTTATTATTTACTATGAATAAATATAATAATCATTTTTAGCCTATTTAAAAAAAAAACAGAAAAATTAATAATGCATTCTAAAATCTACAGAATATGGCATGTAAGATTCCCAATGGCATTTTGACTAATGATATTGTGCAGACTATACATGCCTCGTCCAGCATTGAATTACATTTCCAATATTTAGTAAAAAGCTAATCTTTTTCGTCAGAGCTATCACCAGACATAGGACAGTTTGAACTTATTAGTTCTCATTATTAGTACGTCATTTAGCCATTTGGACTGAACAAAAAAAGGAAACTGTCAGATTTGACAGATATAGTTTTTTGAAACATAAACTGCAAAAGAGATTATTGTGTCGTGAAGAATTATCTACTCTCTGTGTGAAATATTTCTGGCTAGGCAAAACTAAAATTCTAAAATCAACCCTTTGACTGATTCTTTTGAGTTATTTATCATTATTTTTTTAATGTGACAGAAATACCCAAACAAATAAAAAATTACTGAAAATTCGCTAATTATTAATTACAGACAACATTCTGTCATCCTGGAAATAAAAAATGGCCAAAAGATTTTCATCATTTTCTTTTTAAACATTCTCCAATTTGATAAACTAAATTCTTATGCAACTGATGTGATGTAAATTAAATCCTGTGATTAAGTAAGATGTTCTACAAATTATATATATATTTTTTAATTTCGTTTCCTTATTCAAATGTTACCTTATTTAAAGATTTTTTTAATGGGATAAAAAATAAATTAATTATTCAGGAAAAATGTCACAAAATTCGGTAATCGTTTCATAAAAAGTCTGATATTTCCTAAGTAAAGGTATATACAGGGTGAGAAAGTAAAATAACTCCTTTGTTACCCATAATACAGAAAAAAAGTTTATATAAAGGTTGTACAGAATCAAAAAACCTAACCTACAAAATTAATTTGAAACATACAGGGCGATGAGTAAAACCGCGACACGCCAAATATTACATTTTTTAAATGGAACACCCAGTATATTTTTAAACATATGGATTTCCGAGAAAATTCTATATTTGGCAATATAAACAGTTTAACATTTTAGTGCGGGATTGCCAATAAGTTATGTAGAAAATTCTTCGAATTTTGGAAAAAACATGGCCTCGAAGAAGCTGTATTAACTTTCAGCTACTAACACTTGGAACAAAATAATTAGACAGAGTTATAGGCAAATGTTAGACAAAGGCTCCTATATTAGCTAATATCCATATTTTATACAGGGCATTTTTATAATATGATCATTTTTAGAAAGTTTAAATTTGATTTTCTAAAATTTTTCAAATGGTACACCCTGTATTATTTTATTGTTCTATTTTATTCACATATCGGTCCACTTCACCTTTTATTAAGCATGTTCTATATCTAAAATTGTTAGTTTTTAAGATTAGCAACATTTCTGAAAAAACTTAATTTTTATTATTTCATAGAATACCACAAATAAATAATAAATAATAAAATTAACTCAAAATGGAATAANAGCCTACTTAAAAAAAACAGAAAAATTAATAATAAATTCTAAAATCTACAGAATCTGGCACTTAAGACTCCCAATGACATTTTAACTAATGATATTGTGCAGACTATGCATGCCCCGTCCAGCAATGAATTACATTCCCAATATTTAGTAAAAAGCTAATCTTTTTCATCAGAGCAGTCACCAGACATAGGCCAGTTTGAACTTATTAGTTCTCATTAGTATGTCATTTAGCCATCTCGACTGAACAAAAAAAGGAAACTGTCACATTTGACAGGCAGTTTTTCGAAACATAAAGTGTATAAAGTGATTATTGTGCCGTGATCTACTCTCTCAGTGTGACTGATTCTTTTGAGTTATTTATTATCATTATTCTTTTGAGTTATTTATTATTATTTTTTTAATGTGGCAGAAATAATAGCCAAACAAAAAATTACTGAAAATCCACTAATAATTAATTACAGACAACATTCTGTCATCCTGGAAACAAAAAATGGCCAACTTTTTTCCTATTCATTTACTTCCTAAAATCGATCATTTATCAATTATTATAAATTTTATTTATTGGTTCTGTGCAAGAACAACAGTATACTTAATCTCTTCGTTATGAGTTTTCATCATTTTCTTTTCAAACATTTTCCAATTTGATAAACTAAATTCATATGCAACTGATGTGATGTGAATTAAATCCTGTGACTAACTAAGATGCTCTACAAATTATATATATTTTTTTAATAATGCTGTTTCGTTATTCAAATGTTACCTTATTTACAGATTTTTTTTTTTGATGTAAAAAATAAATTAACTATTCAGGAAAAATGTCAAAAAATTCGGTAATCGTTTCATAAAAAGTCTGATATTTCTTAAAAGGGTGAGCCATTAGTATGAGAAAGTAAAATAACACCCTTGTTACTCATAATACTGAAAAAGAGTTTATATAAAAGTTGTACAGAATCAAGAAACTTAAACTACAAAATTAATTTGAAACATACAAGGAACACCCAGTATATTTTTTAAACATATGGATTTCCGAGAAAATTCTATATATGTCAATATAAACAGTTTAACATTTTAGTCCGGGATTGCCAAGTTATGTAGAAAATTCTTCCAACTTTGGAAAAAACATGACCTGGAAGAAGCTGTATTAACTTTCAGCTACTAACTCTTGGAACAAAATAATTAGACAGAGTTATAGGCAAATGTAGGATAAAGGCTATTCGGTGTTGCACAATTTTTATGTTCCCAGTACAGAAAAACAGTTTTACATAATGCCAAATGGAACCCTCACCGTTCTCCGCCGATGGCTTGTACTAAATTAAAATATGTTTATTTATCTCTAAGAAAATGTCAGTGGAAATGTTAACTGGCACATCCTGTATATAATATTTCTTCAGGTACAAACTCATGCTGAAGTGTTGGGAGTTTGAAGCAGAAAACCGTCCAACATTTAAATTTTGCTTAAGTGTACTGGAAAACCTGCATCAAGACCTATTAAGGAATCCTACCACAGGCGCTCATGAAGGGCAGTACATAAGCACTGTGCTTGAACGTGAGTACAGAAGTTTAAAAGAAGTGCATAATTCATTTTAATGTGAATGATTTCATTAAAATTAATGTTTCATCAGCATGTTTTAACAAAATGCATGTGCTCATTTTCAGTTTTTTCTGGGATATCAAATGCAACATATTATCTAGATGAAAATTTTAATGATCCAGGTAATTTAATGCAATATCAGTCATAGATTTCCTTCAGGGACAGAGAACATTCCTGTGAAGAACAAAGCCAAAAAACGAACTGTTCCTACTAGAAAATCAAATTGAGAGCAGAAAAGGAGAACATTCTTGCCGAGATTGAGGTCGAGAGCAAAACGTTCTTCTAAATGTCTTCCTGAGAACTAAAAGCCTGGAGCAGTGATATTCCACCGAAGAAAAAAATATCATTTAAATCGTTCAGTTCGTCACTATGTTCTCAGGAACAAACATACAAAGAACGAGTTTTCGATTTTGTTCAGCAAAGTTCCCAGTCCCTGATTTCATCTCTGTAACTATAAAAGGTGCTGCAGTATTTTACAAACAAAACTACACTACAGGTGATTCTCTCTAACCAAAAATATAAAAAATTCATAGGAAGTCTGCAAACGGTTTACTTTTAATAAACGAGATGATAGTTTTACTTTTTTAGTTGTTTTTATTTATTTTGCACATATTTTAAGATGATCCATTCGAATTCGATATTTCGCCCTTCCACAAATAAGATCCACTTCTTATTTGTGGAAGGGCGAAATGGGCGGTGACTATTAGACGCCTTCACTATACCCATCCTTGTCTATCACATGGATTTCTATGGCTTACTTTATCGCTCTCACGTAACTTCAGATAGACCATCGGTACTTTCCTACCTGGTATTGAACACTATTTTGAGAATCAAAATATACGAATTATCATTCGAAATAATCTACAAAGTGATACTTATTTTAGAACCACGAGCCCTAGAGAACCTTCAAATTTCTTTATTGCGGCAACATTGACTTCGCTATTTGTAAAAAAGTTCATATAAACTTTTTAATTATTTTTGTCCAAAGAATCACCTTTGCAATTTTGTCAATGGGATATAGCAACACCTTCCATATTCAAATCTATTACAAATTCAATTAAACTTGTATTTCTTATTTAAGGAAACTCGTGGAAAAACGAAGCTGAAGATGAATCAAGCAAGGAAAAAACACCATTCTTGCAACGGGAAAAAAATTATTCAGCAAAAAATGTACCAAAATATTTAGAATTGGTTTATGACCCTGATCCCGAGGAAAATGATGGCTATGAAATTCCAAATCTAATGACAGAACAAAATTCATCAGAGATTGTGACTGAACAAAATGATTCTGATTCAGAAAACAACAACAGTTTAAAAACAAATGAGGACCGCAATGACAATAACACTCTGAAAAATTTCACTGAATCAGAAAAAGCTGAGATATCATGATATATTTGTTAAAAATATATTTTATTTATTGCTGTGGCCTTGATAAGTGCAAATTTGTATAAATTACTTATAGTTAGTAGTTCTTTTATTGTTATTAACTTTTTGTTTACCAAGAAATGCATATCAAAAATGTGTATGAAATATACAAAAATCTTGTATACTGTTTGCTTTTTTTATTAATGACATTCAGATTAGTGTAGGATCTGAGAATTGGTATCTATTTAAAAAAAAATCTTCTGAATTTAATTTAATAATCATAATTTCATAAAACTTAAAATATTACTATTTTCATTAAGTCAAAAGAAAGTAAATAATGATATTATAGATGTGGTTATCACCACAATAGATATTAATTTTTTTCATTTCTTTGTAATGAAATGTATACGATAGTGAAATGTCACACTTCCAGTATTTTTTTATTTTGTTCTCCCTATATTTTAAATTTGATACAAATTCTTATATAACTGTATTTATTTATAATTTAAAATGTATATTTTGTAAATAGAAATTTATGTGATTTAATAAGACTCCATAAATAAATATATATTAATTAGGATTATTCACTTTCTTAGGATTATCCAATAACCTGTTTTACATTCATAAACCTGATAAATTATTTCAAATATTGGCTAATTTAGTGACCAAATTTGGCTCAACCATGTTAACAGCAAACCACAAATTATATTAAACTTATAACTGAGCCTAATGCACTACTAAAAATGGGTCACAATTTCAAAGTTGATTTTTTCACAAACGGCTATTCTGATTTTGTTTATTTTTTTAAATTATAGGTTTCTTCTTCACTGAAATTCCTAGGGTTTTATTTAAATTTAAGTATTCAAAACATACAGGATGAGAGAAAAATGTTTTTCTCCAAAATTTGATTTCCCTGTGCCTAGCCACGTTAGAGAATATATACAGTACTCAAATTGTATTATCAATTTTTTTGAAAAATTTGTTGTTTTTCGCATTATATCTATTATTATTTAAAATACAATGATAAATGCCACTAAAAATCCTCAAAATTGGCCAATTTTTAGATTAGAACCAATTTCCAATACATTGGCCAATTTTTGAGACAATCAATCGATCAATTTATTGGGCCAAAATCTGGTAAATATAAAACAAGTTTACATGTAATACAAACAAAAATTTCAGTAGGTAAATCGTAGAAGAAATTTACAAGAAATAGTCATAATTCATTATATTTTGGTATCGTAAAATGAAATGACTTGAAATCGTGTGGTGAAATAATAATTTGTATTAAAATACTTCCTATTGTCTAATTAACGCTATAATAGGGAGAGTGATGTTTTTTTATCTTATTTTCTTCATTTTATTATACAGAGTGTTCTGAAAGTCCATCAGAACACTCCGAAAGGTGATTCTATGGATTAAAATAATACCAGTATGTAATGAAAATTTTTTTCGAATTGTCAAGTTACATTATGCGCCGCTAGAGGCCACTTTATCTAGAACTCAAAATTTGTTTTGTTCATAACTTTTTTCTCTTGCTAGATATCACAGAAATTTAAACATTAATGAAAAGAGAAACAATATCAGAAAAAATGATGTACCCTTTATTCAAACCGATAAATGTAACCATTTACCAGGAAATTGCTGTTAATGTGTTATTAACATCAAATATTTGATTAATCTTTCTGTAATTAATCAAGTTACCATGCTATAAATAAATGTCATTAGTAATTTTGGTGTTATGAATTGTAATAAAAATTGTTTAAAGCAGGTATTTTTTACCACAATTTTTTTTCGGCCCTGTAATACCATTGTGAAAAAATAAAATGAGGATAATGAATTTACTAATAATATTTTATTTACTAACCAAGCTGGTTTTACAAGAGAAGGTATTACAGCATGGCAACTTGATTAATTGAGAAAGAATTATCAAAAATTTGATCTTTAATAAAACTTTAATAGCGATTTCCTGCTAAACAGTTACATTTATCGGCTTGAATAAAGAGTACATAATTTTTTCTGTTATTGTGTCTCTTTTCAATAATGTTTAAATTTATGTGATGCCTAGCAAGAGAAAAAAATTATAAACAAAACAAATTTTGTGTTCTAAGTAAAGTGCCCTATAGCGGTACATATTGAAACTTTTCTTTGACTGATCCAATAGAGTTTCATCCACTTAGTGGCTGTGCCAAATGAGAAACTAATCAAACTTGAATTAAATAAGTCATTTAAATAGAAAAATAAAAAAATTGAACTTTGACAAGCTGTAACTTGTAAACAATTGACAATTCGAAAAAATTTTCATTGCATACTGCTATTATTTTAATCTGTAGAATCATCTCCTGGAATTTCCTGACGGACTTTCAGAACACCCTGTATATTAAACATCAAATCCTATAAAATATGATTAGCTAGTAGTGTTTAAATTTATTTTTTATGTACTTTAGGGGTCATTTGAAGTCATAATGAGGCAACACAAAAATTACCTTGTTTAGGCAGCAAACAATAACAAAATAAGAAAATGGGGAGGAGAACTTGAAGGCAATTTCGGAGAATGTATAGAATCCCAGTAACTACTAGTTATCTAAAAATGAAAGGATTTAATACTGTTTCATAAAATAGATTTTTTTTGCATAATTGTCCAATGACTTGAAATAAACATTGAATGTGTACTACGTTTCAGATCATTCCAATGTGGAGTAACCTAAAAAACATACTATGATATTTTTTTTAACACACTGAAAAGATATTCCCTAAAGTCCAAAGAGACATTAGGACAAAGAGACATTTTTATAAGCAAAGTCTGTTTGTAATAATAACAAAAATGGCAAGCTTTTAAATTCTCCAGGAAAAAGTTTGATGAATTTGTGCATTGAATCAAAATATCACTAACGAATTTGATGGACCAACGACACAATTAAAAAAAATGCTTTGTTAGTTTTTAATTTTCTTTCAACTTCACTAATTCGATAAATAATTAAAAAACTAAAATTATGTCACAAATAAATAACTTCAGATATTAATTCCATTTATACAAAGCCAGGATCAGCGTTGCCAGATATCCCGATTTTGGCGGGACATCCCGCTTTTTAAGCCAAAATTAAATGTCCCGCGCGGGACAGGCTCGGTCCCGCTTTTCCCGCTCTGGTTTTTTTTTCTTTAGGCGTCAATTATTTTCTCCTTTTTTTTTTAGACATCGATTTATTTTGAGGACAATTTGTTTCCTAGATATCCTGAGAACTTTTTTTTTTTTGTAGACATCAAGAATCCTGCTTTTTTGTTCAAAGTTTCAAAATCCCGCTTTGCCCGAAAAAAAATCTGGCAACACTAGCCAGGATATTTGAAAAGTTAATAAATCCAAAAGCAAAAATTTTTTTAACATCTACAGACTTACCACTTTGATACGATGAAAACTTTTATGGAACCACTGCTCCCACTGATAGCTCCTCTGTTTATAAAAGCTGATGCATGCCTATTTGGAAATCAAGCACATAAAGATGTGCAGTTAACTAGCTTTCATATGTTACCGCCATGTCCATTAATTGATTGTTACTGTATCAACGTCCATTTTAGTATGTTTATTTGCACTTGTTAACACACACCAAAGGCACACTGTCCTTTCACAAAAAGAAAACAGTTAAAATAAGAATCTAGAAAAATAAACAAATTCTGTAGAACTGATTATTACCTGATACTGGACTAGCAATTTTTCTACTAAACACTAAAAACAGGTCAAAACGGATGCAAATATTGACCTCGTTTTATATAGTATGTAAAATTATAACATTTAACAATTTTAATTATATTTAAGCACCATTTTACAGTTACAATCATTTTAATAATTAAAAATGTTTATTATTAATTCAACCTAAATGCCATTAAAATATTTTCTCCAAATTTGTAAATTCCTTTTAATCACAAATTGCATATCGACGCTTTAGTACGAAAACATGCTATCTCATGCTATCTCAAATTAAGCTTGGAAAACATGCTAGCTCAGATGTTAAATATTCCTTACTTTTTGAAAAATATATTATACAGGGTGGTGCAATGGGTATTGACAATTTTTGAGATGCCACTGTCCTAATATGAGTAAAGTGGAGGGGGAATTCAACCGCTTAAAATATTCCGCATGTAATGCCATTTAGTAGCCATGGATACGTGGCCAGTGAACCAACGCAGCTTTTGCATTAAGGCGTATCACCGATCAGAGTCCGTTATTGAGGTGCAATGACAGTTTCGGCGTGAATATAACATTCCAAGGCGTTGTAGAATTCCTTTGCGCAACACAATTTTGCGGTGGGTTGCCAAGTTTCGTGATCATGGATGTGCAAAAAATGAATTTGTCGGTTCTAATAAAGATAGGAGATGCTGCTACGAGTTACAGAAAATTTTCAATCACAACTTCAGGAATGTTTAGAAAAACATGGTGGCCATTTAAGACATTATTTTCAAAAAATAATTTTCGTTGTAAAACTGCATTATATGTGTAATAAAAATATATCTTTTTAACATTGGTCGTTTCATTCGTATATCCATAATAACACTAAAAACCATCAATACCCATTGCACCACCCTGTATAAGTTTATTATAAATGCACGGTTTCAATCATTCCAATTTTTTTTCAATCCAAGCTAGTATGTTTTTCAAGTTTAATTTGAGATAGCATGTTTTCCAACTGAAATTTGAGATAGCATGTTTGCCAACCGAAATCTGAGATAGCATGTTTTCGTACTAAAGCGTCAATAAGTCAAACTTTACCTGATGATAGAACACCTCAAAAGAAAAAAAAATCATATAAACATAGGTCATAGAACTCTGTTTTTGAGATGTTGCATAAAATAAAAAAAATATAATAACATTCATTTAAATACTTATCTCTTAAAATATTTGATGTAGATTGATGAAACTTGAGTTAACTAACTAAAAATATACTAAATTGCTACACAAATCCGTTAACCAGTGGTGGAGATGCTGGGAGTTACCTTTCCTATCATCAGAATTTTGAGACTACTCAATATTTCGTGGATGGCATGTGCATTTAATTCCAGTTGGTGTTTCTAAGATATCTTGTATTTTATTCGAAAATTGAGTCACTTTATTTTTAAAAAATTAAAATAATCTTTCCACATAAATAAAAAATAACTCCAAAATTATCTGATTCACAAAAAAATATAGTTTGAAGTAAAATTTTAGCATTTGAGAGTATTTGTTTCCTTCACGTCATGTTGGGAGATAAACATCACAGTTCATGTTAAAATCTATTTTTTTTCTCTCGCACATAGTAAATAACTACTTTTTAAGTTACAAAAAAAAATGTCAAAAAAATTAAAACTGAAAATTTTATGTTCGTGTTAAATTTCAGAAAAACAAATTAAACTACTATTAATTGCACACTCTTACCTGAATTATAGACATCAATGTTGACCCCGGATATTTTGAGTTTAACTTCTATAGGAATTCTTAAATGGTACAATTATTTCTAAATGAACCACTGCAGTGTAAAAAGCAAAGTAACTTTGAACAATTTAATTTGTACAAGACAACATCACAGGTCTCAAAAAAATGTAATTTTCTTTTTTTTCCAATGTATCATAACTTAAGTTTACTTTATTTTTTCCCAATTAATTTCTATTACATACAACTTTATATCTAAAATATTTTTATTTCATGCAGGTTCCTCTTTTACGGGAGGTTCTTCCTCTTCTTGCTTTACGTCATCATCCATTGCCTCGTCTTTACTATTTTCATGCAACAAAACATATTCCCTTGAACTGTACCCAAATTTTATCACATCTTTCTCAAATAATTCGACGTATTTTTTGGATTCAATTTTCTTATTATTGATAAAAGTTCCATTTGCTGATTCCAAGTCAATGAGATACGGACGTACCCTTTTACCTGGAACAAATAATCTTAAAAAATGTTTTAACTTTTAGTTAGAAGTTAATTATTTATTGCTTAAAACCACCAGATTGTTTTAATTAACACAATATTCTGTTATAAGGAACAATTCATTAATAATGCTGAATAATAATACAACTTAGTGTAGTGTAATAACATTACGATTATAAAAAACATCCAATTTTAACAACTACGATTTTTACCTGGAGCGCTTCGGATTTTTTTACTTTATTTATTTCAATTTATAAAACAATTTGTAGACCAATTTTAGACTATGATATGTGTTATAATGCACAATTTTTAAAAGACCGGTCTATGGAATGCTAGTTCTAACTTTATTTAAATGAAGAACAATAATGTTTTATAGATATTCAATTGTTTATGAACGTCATTTTTCAATACTGCTTTACTATATCCGTGCTGATATATGTTGTTGATGAAACAACTTGTGCATGTCATTGTGCAAAGTTTTAAAGTACACTTTTATTTGGTAAATTACACATGTCCATTAATGAATTATGACTAGAAAGAATATTCATAGGTGTCCTATTATTGTACTGTAGCAAGTAATATAATAGCAAAAAAAAAATGGAAAGTAAGAAAGGCAAAACCATCAGAACAGCATGAGTGAAATAATTATAAACAATAATAAATATGTGCAAGTTGATAGTACAGTATCTAAACCATCATCAATGAGTAATAAAAAAAAATGCAAGTAATTGAAATGTTTTCATTGAGAACTATAAACTCTAACAAAAATTGGTTATCCCACAAACTCTCTTTTTAATCGTATAATTGTATAATAGACAACAGTGTATATATTAGGTCTGAGAGAAAGGCGTTTTTCCAGATAGATGGCAAATAACTCACGAACCACGACCCAGCGAGACCAACAAATGCTCGTTGGAAAGGTGACACTTTGAGTGTATAAACATCGAAATTGGTTGTGACTGAAAAGTTGTCTGTATTATGTGTAAAAATGGGGAAAATGATAATGAAAAATTGCGTTATATTTTACAATATTATTACTACAAAGGAAAGAAAGCTGTGCAGGCTTATGATGAAATTTGTAAAATGTACGGTGAAGGTACTTTACCAAAATCTACCAGCAAAAATGGCTCGCTCGCCTTCATTCTGGTAATTTTCATGTGAAAGACTGTTCCAGTCAGTGAAAAAGCTGATGAAATTCTTAAAAAAGTCCAGCAAGATAAGCATATCAGCAATGTCGATATTGGTATGAGGCTAGACATTGACCAGAAAACTGTTTTAAACCATTTACACAAAGCTGGCTACAAACAGAAGCTCGATGTATGGTGCCTCATGAGTTGTGCGCAAAAAACATGTTAGATCGAATTAATATCTGCGATGAGCTGCTGAAACGCAATGATATCAAGCCATTTTTTAATTGTGTCATAACGAGTGATGAAAAATGGGTAACGTACAACAATCGGAAGCATTACAGATCGTGGAGAAGGAATGGCGAGCCATCAAATGCGGTTGCCAATTGATATCGAAAAATGTGATGCTGCATGTGTGGTGGGACTGAAAGGAAATGGTTTACCATGGGCTACTTCCAGTTGGTCAAACAATTGATTCTCTACTCTACAGTGAATAACTGGAGAAATGACGCCAAATTGAAAGAAAACGGCCCAGATTGAACAACGCCCGACCACGTCTTTGATGACTCATCAAAAATTATGAAAGCTTAGTTGGGAACTTTTGATGAAGCCACCGTATAGTCTAGATATAGCACCTGCTGACTATCATTTGTTCCGATCTCTGCAGAAGTCTCTCAATGGAATTAAGCTGGCTTCAAAAGAAGCGTATGAAAACCACTGGATTATTTTTCAACGATAAACCACAGAAGTTCTTCACCGATGGCATCATAGCTGTATCCGAAAAATGACGAACATTGTCAATAATAATTTTTCACATTATAAAAAAACTAGTTGAATTTTACTAAAAAAATGCCTCAAACTTTTTCCCAGACCCAATTAATCTATGCAGATGATCTATGAGAAGACCAAAATCCAACCCAATCAAAATAAACTATAAAACTTCAAATTAATTAGTAAAATGCCCTTCAAGAAATTCCACACTCTCTCAGAGAGCTAACCACCGTAAAGTTGATATTTTTATTTTTTCTTTAATTTTTAAACTTTTGTGAAATAGACGTGCTTAAAAATGTAAATAATACTGTAAAATATTATATAAGACAGGCTGGAGGATCTCAATCCATAAAAAGCTATTGTTATTTATAATTTACATACTCCTTGATTAAACACATTTTCCAAACTATTGGAAAGATGCACAGAATGTTATGCGTGACTTAGTTTAGTTCTCCTGAATTTGATAGTTTATATACGCTGCACTTAAAACATAATAATTATTTGAAAAACGTTCATCTACCTGCACTTCCATCATCCCGGGTGAAGGGGACCAACCGATACTGAAGAACTGCATGTTGTTTTGAGCAAGAGGGGTGATCTACCGGCAAGTCAACTACTTTTCTCTCTCTGCCAATAAGATATGCACTTTCTCTGTGTATATACAATGTCTGTAAGGCTTTTTCTCCTTTGAACGGATACAGTCTCCATCTTCTCCTAGGTTTTCTAGCTTCAGGTGGTTCACTATACTTGATAACAATGCCCTTGTAAGTATTAGTTTCTTCTGTGAGTTTTCCAGAAAGGCTAAAGTTTGGCTTTTCCTTCTGTTGGGGTTCCTTTTTTTCATACTTCGTACCCTCTTGTTTACCCCATTTAGCGTTGGCATGATCGAAAGAACTGCTCCTCCTCCTAATTTAAATTGATTTAAATATAAAGAATATAAACATAGCTTATGTACTCTTACCGATTTCCATAACGATAATTATCTCTCCTATCCCTTCCTCTATTTTTATAATCATTGTTATCATCTCTATACTCCTTTGTATCCCCCTGATCTCTAAAAGATCTTCTGTCGTCCCTCCTATAATCACCTCTTTTATTTCGATGTCGGTCTTCTTGTCTGTCTTTATTATTATAATCTCTCCGACTTCGATCCCTGTCATCATGTCTGTCTTTGTCATAATCTCTCCTACTATGTGACTCTTCAACATCTCTATCTCTTGATTTTGCTCGATCTTTATCAGGTGATTTATGCCTATGCTTGTTCTCTCTATGCCGTTCCTCATCTTTAAGTTTTTCGTAACGGTCCTTTTCTTTGTATTTATTATCAGAGCTTCTATCTACATTTTCTTGCTTTCTATTCTTCTGCCTAACAAAAAAATTTAATATAAATTTGTAAAGGTCCTGTTGTGTTTTAATTATAAAACATGTATGGGTGACATAATTAAGTATACACAAATGAGACATCTCTGTGAATATTCTTTTTCTCATCTCCATTTTTGTTAATCTTTTGCAATCCCACCCATCTTTCACTGAATAATTACACAAAAAGTCAGTTTATTTGCTTTTCAATCTGCAAAAAATATTCTTAAATAACAAGAAAATTATTTGTAGGAATATGACTTCGGAACACTATATTTAGAAAATGAAATCTCACAAAAAAAAAAAGGAGAAATTCATCACTTACTTTTTTGTTACCTCCGCGTCAGAATAATCTGAAGATCTTCTTCGTTTTGACTTAGAATATTTTTCGTCGCTTTCCTCTGAACTGGAATGTTGGCTTTTTGAAATTTTCTTTTTATTGCTGGACTCGCTAGACGATGAACTAGCTTCACTGTCCGATGAACTTGAATCAGATTCATGTTTTTTCTTATGCTTATGTGAACCCATTTATATTTCAGATTACAAAATAATAGAGAAAGCTAAGAAGGTTATGTTTTGACGTTTAACGATTTAACCACAAAACAAATAAATAGTTTTAAGCACAAAACATGTTTTAAGTTTGTCGACGCCATAAGTTGTTTTCCAATTGTCAAGTGTTCTACTGTTCTACTCCTTAAATATTCTAAACTTAAACAATTGAAACACCTCCGAGAGAAACACGTAAGTATTTAAATAATTTTCAAGTACTTCCTTTTGATATTATGTACCAAGTTAAAAGCCAAAGCCTAATATAAATATTAAATTTCACTTATTAGCTGCTTTCCAATTAATAAAGAATGTACTTCCTTCGGAAGCAGTTCAAGAACACTTCAGGAACAGTTCCCTGGCAATTGGATTGCAAAAAGTGAAATTGTAGTACTCCAGTAGTACTTAAGGAGCGCTTCGTTTGCCTACTGAAAACTTATATTTAACGAACAGTGGCACAAAAAAATAATTAACCATAGTGAAACAATTAAAAAATTCTAACTCCACATAGATAGTGTGAAAACATGTGAAAACAATACAGTAAAAATTGTTGAGTGAGGGGGCAGAGCAAAACAGAAACTGTTTTCCAATTGTCATGGAACTGCTCCTGAACTGCCACTGTTCTACTCTTAAATACTTAAACAATTGGAATACTTCCGAGAGGAACACATAAAAGCATTTAATATTTTTCAAATAATTGCTTTTATTATTATGAGCCAAAAACCAAACCTAAATATAAATTTTACTTGTTAAAGCATAACTGCACAAATAATCCATGGCCACAAATAATCTTCTTTATAAAACAGAGTATAAAACTTTAAGGAATAGGTGGTATGTACGTGAAGAGCATGGCAAAACTGACAAGAACACTTTAGGCGGAAAGTGTCCAGTTTATTGAAACGCAAAAAGTCTTCGAGCTACCGGAGGTAACCTACTAACAACTGCGGGAGTGCGCGTCGTTATTTTTGGCGATGTTGGTGGTCTAAAATGATTTGAGACCGAGGTGGACTATCCCTCTTTTTCCTGCTTCATTGCTGTAGACCTAGTACAGTATAGTGCCTATCTAACCTATTTATAAAAAATGGACCCAAGTTTAATTTTTTACGTCGCTTTAAGTGACTGCGCAGAGACCATGCGCAAGTAGGGGAACATCAAAAGCTGAAAGCTAAGCTGGGCTTGTTGGTGAACGTGAACGGGCTGGGCTTGCTATTGCGCATAGATCACGCTGTCCCTTTACTGGGCTTTTAGAGCAGTTGGGTTGTGGTCCTAGATAAATGATACTATAGATAGGAAACTTGAACAGATTTCGTGGCTCAGACTAATAAAGTTATTACTCGTTTCGTGGTCACTAACAGCGCTAACTGTTGACACTTTCTCCAACTTCTATTCCTTTCCTTGTCTAGGAATTATCGGTAATACAGTAAGTTAAATTACCTTTAGTCAGTAAAAGATGCAAGCGCCATCTAGTTGTACGCTCTACAACTATATACCTACCTACTCAATATTTGTTTTAGGTATTCTGCCGCCGCTAAATTTAAAATTACATAACAAATCTCACCCTACACAGATCACTCAGAAATTGATTTTGTAAAATAATTTTCACGTAGATAATTTTTTTTGTCNTCCACATAGGTAGTGTGAAAACATGTGAAAACAATACAGTAAAAATTGTTGAGTGAGGGGGCAGAGCAAAACAGAAACTGTTTTCCAATTGTCATGGAACTGCTCCTGAACTGCCACTGTTCTACTCTTAAATACTTAAACAATTGGAATACTTCCGAGAGGAACACATAAAAGCATTTAATATTTTTCAAATAATTGTTTTTATTATTATGAGCCAAAAACCAAACCTAAATATAAATTTTACTTGTTAAAGCATAACTGCACAAATAATCTATGGCCACAAATAATCTTCTTTATAAAACAGAGTATAAAACTTTAAGGAATAGGTGGTATGTACGTGAAGAGCATGGCAAAACTGACAAGAACACTTTAGGCGGAAAGTGTCCAGTTTATTGAAACGCAAAAAGTCTTCGAGCTACCGGAGGTGGTATAAAATGATTTGAGACCGAGGTGGACTATCCCTCTTTTTCCTGCTTCATTGCTGTAGACCTAGTACAGTATAGTGCCTATCTAACCTATTTATAAAAAATGGACCCAAGTTTAATTTTTTACGTCGCTTTAAGTGACTGCGCAGAGACCATGCGCAAGTAGGGAACCTCAAAAGCTAAAAGCTAAGCTGGGCTTTTTGGTGAACGTGAACTAGGGGCTGGGCTTGCTGCGTCCCTTTACTGGGCTTTTAGAGCAGTTGGGTTGTGGTCCACAAAAGAGGGGAAGTGAATATACTGTGCAGAGTAGAGACTCTATTAAATGTTTTGTGGCCTCCACCCTCCATATTCAAAACGTTGACTGAAATTATTGTTCCAGTTCAACATTCGATGATATGTGAATCACATATCATATAATTCAACAATTTTTTAAACTCCGTCTTTCAAAAAAAAATCTAATTTAAATGGGCCAATAAATACCTTTTTTAAAAATATATTTTCATTTATTCCTTCAGCAAGTTATTTGTTTATGTTTTGAATCCATCAATTTCATATTATAATAGTGTTATAAATATGCAAAAATAAAATTGTTGATCTTAAATATCTAGAGTTTGAACATATTTTAAACTTTTAATTATTAACAAGAGATATATGAAAATCTAAGGTCAAAAAACTTTATTATAAAATAAAACCATACAATACATAGTCACTAAATAAATGATAATTTATTCATAGTTTATCAGTTGCAATACGTTACACTAAAGTCTATCGAATGCATTGCTTCAATGCACTTGGTTTAGTTTTAATTTTCTCTGCATCCTTAGTCTTGGTCGGATTCTTGGTAAAACATTTCCACAGCCTTAAAGTTTCATCTGCCCCGGCAGACAGAATCGTCGTACCATCCGGAGACATTGCTAAATGCAATACTCTTGCCGTATGACCGGTAAGTTCTGCAATCTTTGTCATACTTGGATATTTCCAAATAATTAACTCGTTATTAGCAAACCCATGGCCGGATACCAACTCCTTATAATTCAGTGACCAGAGTAAGGCGCAAACCTGGGACTTTGTGTCTATGGCATTAACACAAGAACCTGTATTACAATTCCAAAATCTGATGTGGCGGTCTGCAGTTCCTCCACCACTTGCTAATATATGTGGTTGCCACGGGCACCACGCTAAAGCTTTAACAGCTGCTTGATGAGATGTAAACGTGTGTAAGGCCGCAGTTTGAGAATAGTGGCCTCCAGTAACCTAAAAAATGATTGTGCATTTTAAACATGTAATAGCGATTTCCATTGATGCACTGTGCGCATTCAGTGTATCTCCATCCTGTATTATCTACAGTGATAATAAAAGATTGAAATATACTCGGTGCGCACTCAGTGTGTCAATGCAAATCGCCTTAATAGAAAAATCGAATTTTACTTTTACGAGGATTGCCTTTTATATTTCGGGAATAGAGAACAAAAAAGAAATAAATCATCATAAACATATAAAATATTCTCCATGAAGATCACTATACTTCTGCATGCGTTTGAACAAATTTTCAAAACACTTTCCATTCCAGTCGAGGTACCTCCAAAACACGCACTTTGAATGCCTCGAAAAACGACCTTGTAATTTATTCTTGATGTGTGGGAATAAAAAAAGTCAGTAGATGTCAAATCAGGGCTGTACGGTGGGAAACTCGTCAATAATTATTAGACTTTTTCAGTCCTCAAAAAATATTTTGCTTGAGCCGATATGTGAGCTCACATCCCGATTTTGGCGGAACGTCCCGCTGTTTAACCCAAAATTAAATGTCCCGCGCGGGACATGCTCCCGCTCTCCTCTGAATGATTTTTTCCAGGTCTGTTATTAACGTCCTTTTTTTTTAGACATCGATATTTTTGAAGACGAGTGAGACCTTTTTTTTTTTTAGGCATCAATTATACAAACCCGTAGTACGTTCCGAATTTGGACAAAAGAATCCCGCTTTTTATTCAAAAAGTTTCAAAATCCCGCTTTGCGAAAAAAAAAATCTGGCAACGCTGGCTCACATTGACCTGGGGGAGAATAATGCGTTGATGGTTGATATTCTTTATTTTTTCTGAAGACTTGCAAACAAATGGTTGTGTACCAATCAGAATTGATCGTCCGACGTTGCACTAATGGTACAGTTATCACGTCTGGTTCTTCCAAAAAAACAGGTGACTATTTTCTTAGAAGTTCTTCGTGCACAAACAACTTTTGTTGGTTTCGGCTCATCTTGAAAGATCCATACAGTCGACTGCTGTTTACTCTTAGGCTCATATGTATAGATCCATGATTCGTCGCCTGTTACAATGGCATAGCAGTGTTTTGAAGAACAGCGATCATATTTTTTGAGCATTTCTTTCGACCAATGAGCGTTTGTCGAATTATGTGGGATCTAACGCAAATAAAATTTTTATCAGCCAAACGTTCATGCAATATTGAATGTATGCTGGTCCCAGTAATGCCGAAAGATGCCTCAAACTCACGATGTCACATGACGATCTTGCAATCACGCACAGCATCAATATTTTCTAGAACAACCGATTTTAGATGACCTTCACAAAATTCATCAGTGAGCGAAGCAGTGATGGTACTTCATCGCCACAAGCTGAATTAAGTACATTAATGCACTGTTGTTGAGATAATCCACGTTGAAAACTGTAAAAAATAACCACACGGAAATGTTCACTGCTTAATTTCGGTTTTTAGCCGAGATGAATTTTTCAAGCCACTGTAAACAACACAAATAATGCCTGTACATCAAAACATTCGAAGTATTCCGACAAAAAACTGAACTTTACCATAGAGACGTTGCTTGTCAGATGGCAGCAGCAGGATCGTCCATTCCCGAAATATAAAAGGCAGCATAATTTTAAACTTACCACTTGCCAAATGTTTAATACATTATCATTCCCTCCACTAGCTAAATATTTGCCATCAGTTGACCATTTTAGGCCACATACTTCTTGAGTATGTCCCGAGAGAGTGGCCACACCATGTTCTCTCTGACGTACATCATGATGAATAATTTGGCCACTACGACATCCGCTAGACAAAATATAGGAATTCCAAGACAACGATCCCACTCTAGCAGAATGGCCTTCCATAATCCTTAACTTCTTCGATCTGGAGCAGTCCCACAGTTCTACAGTACCTAATACATATATGTTTTTTAAATAATTACTGCTTCTCTTAAACTGCTAATATATTAAATTAATAATGTCGCTGAGTACCTACCATTAGTTGTTCCTACAGCTAAACAATGTCCCTCTTGAATCCAAGCCAACGAACATACATAGTCATTGCCTTCTAACTCCAAGAGTTGATCAATGTTGCCAGTACCTAAGGACAAAGCAATTATTAAATTTTTAATTTATAATGCTCATTTTTGATGCGTACCTGCGTTCCACAAATATACATGTGCTCCCAAAGCTGCGGCTAGTATATTATTTCCACTCCAATCCATTAAATTAAGATAATAATCATCCACAATATCTGGAGCATCAAGAATTCTATCTGGTGCCTGAGGTATATAACGACTACTACTTTTTACCGAAGCAGGAGTTTTAGTTTGTGTATAAATAACCCTCATAGGGTTTTGAAAACCCTCTGGTGCCGATGGAGCTTTATTTTTATATGTTAATATACGTTGATTATTAATATCAGCACCGTGTAGATTTTCAGACAATACTCTCTGTAATTCCTGATGTGTAGGACTGTCACTATGATTATTTTCATCCTGAGTAAGTTTGTAATGAGCCAAATCAAAATTACTAGCACTCCGTAAAGGGATAAATCGGTCACCACCAGGAGTTTTTGGTCCTTTGTTTGGTGTTGGGGTTCGGGATTTTTTGGAAGGCGTTTTAGAGGGCGTTTTATTTCTTTGGTAATCATTTTCATTACCTTTCGTCGGTGTTTTTGTTAAATTTAACACTGAAGATGACAAAGAGCGTAATTTCGATGAATTATTCAAACTAGAATTTGATGATGAACCACCTTCTTTTTTTCGTTGCCACCGCGGTGCAGGTCCTTTCACAGGACCTTCCATAGTCAGTAAACTATTAACGTCATTCCAAAACTTAAACTGGGACATATTAAAGTACCGTTTACTACCTAATTTGTTGTTGTCTTATGTGTTTTACGGCGTAGCCACAAATGATCTAATAAATATTTGACAATATACTAGGAAACGTACACAAGCATAAAGATAAACTTTTTTAAACAACACTAACAGAAATAATAGTAACTAGGTATCATTTAACAAGTATGAGTATAAAATCACACAACAAAGACACATGGGAATTTCCGTTGCAAATATATTATAGTTTTGAAATTTAAATTATAACGTATTTTTGTCAGTTTGTCACTAAAGGCAGTGACGCCAATCTAACAATTTAAAATTTATTGCTTAGGCAATCTGTCACGAAATAGATTGAACATTTGAAATTTAAATCGGGCAAATGTGTTCTTTTATAATTTTTTATAACGCTTAAAACAATTAAGAGCACTTCGACTAATTTACACTTGTGCAATCAGTGTTCGTTCACATTAGAGCATATAGTACATGACATGGAGGTAGCACGTTTACGGCGACAGTGTAGACGTGTAAGAGACAGAGATAGAGATAGTTTCAGTTCTTTCTGTCTCTCTCGCGCAAGCACGTGATTGGCTAACATAAGTCCTTTCAAGAATAATAATTATTGATATTGGGTGTATTCAATTCTCGAGCGAGCGGCCGAACTGAGCGCACGTGTTTATTGTGAAGTGAAGTGCATTGCAACGAGCAAGATCTACCTGCCTTTATTAAGGCTACCTGGAAAGAATCCCTTTCTTTCCTCCTAACCACCGACCTAATCCCCGGCTTAAGCATAGAGGCCGTCGGCATCTTTGTTACAGGTACCTGTGCCGGGGTTATGCCCAGGTAAGTTTTTACTTTATTTATCAGTTATTTGCATTATTTTAGAATACATTTCTCTAAAATTGCGACCCCAGACAAACAATATACTGTAACGTGAAATTTATTGATACTTTATTATTCAGTCATTTTAATGTTCCTCTTGTTAAATTGGTTGCCGTTCTTGGTTTGAGTTGACGTACTATCATTTCCAAGAAGATCTCTAGTGGAGTATGATTAAGATCAAGCCTCTACCGCCGTGTGTAGCGAGTGTCCGCGGGACGGCTTTGGTCACATGGCTCTTGCTTTTTCGCGGAAGGCAGAGAGGTTAGGCGTACGATTTGATGACTGGTGGGGAACGCGTTGTGAAAATCGGTGATTTTCTGGATCATCTCATTGTAGGATTAAGATTTTCAACTCGCGTAATATTTAGTTGGAGTGGTTATGTGGAATACAAGAAGTATTTTTGTTTGAAACATCCAANTATATTTCTTGGACTATACAAATAATATATACACATTAAATTATATAAAAAAAATATTTATATCTTAAAATTATTCTTGTATAAAATATTTATACATCTTAAAGCTATTCAACATTCATTCGTCTCACTTTTATTCGTCCACTCAAAGTTTTTAAAGCCTTTCCACTTTCATCCCTCTTTCGCACTTTATTATTAATTTCGGCTTGTATTGTCTGAATCTCCTCCTGCAATACCCGCATTTGCCCCCGTTTAACTGCGAGAGTTTCTCGCAGAACGCGGACTTCTTCCTCAGTTTGTTCCTCCCTACGACTGAGTTTTCCCAGTATCGGAGGAATGCTGAAATGACATCCGGTTCATCGGCCTGCGAGTACAGGATCGTTTCTTCTTCTTCCACTTGGGTTGCCGCAATTTCCTGGGGAACTTTCGGAGGTGGTGTTATGGAAACTTCTATGGATGCAACCACATCGTCAAACGTTGATATGATTTCCTGGGTTGGTGATCGGAGAATTGGCGGCTGTGGTGGTGGAGCTTCTGCTTGTGGCACCGTTACTTCAACCGCTGGTTGTTGCAACAACTGTTGCAACTGAATAAAAAGTCACTGATTGGGGACAAATCCATGATTGTGTTGTTCCCTATGTCCGACAATGCCCTTGACAAAATGTCATCGGATGGAATTATTGCATCCATAGCACTAGCAGCCGTCGTGGTATAACAACCTTGGCTGACAAACGGTTGTTGGAAATACTGAAGGTGCTGACGTTCCTCCGGCGTCACTTTTGGCATAGGTTTGCCAACACTTGTACTCTTTCTTCTAGAACTTGTTGTGGCTTTTTTTGGTATTGTACTTGATCGATCCATTTTTCTTTTTTTAAATACACAAAATTTACACTATTGTAGACGCTCACTGCAGGGTTGGCACACAACGAAATGTAATTCTTCACTTTGATCTCCTCTCATATATAGAAATAACACTGCAATTCAAATGCACCACGTCACAATGTCATTGTATGCACAACATTAAAACAACTATTTAATTTTAAGGTTAAATGCAATGTTTAAACGTAAATCAAGCGAATGGCGTCACATAATGTGATAATTTTTGGTCTTTTAAACTAGCTCAAGGTCACCACACCCTCATAAAATATTTATCCACACCGATACACATATTTCAAATTTAATTTCAAAGTTAACTACAATGTCAAAGTCAAATGAAGGTCATCTTCTCATGTAAAATTCCTCCTCTCTCACATACTATACAAATGTAATTTCAAGGTTCAAATTAAAGTCACCAACCTGCGTCATTTCCTTCGGCTTTCAGCCTCAAAGTCATCCATATACCATCATCATCGGCCTTCGGCCTGAAGGTCATCCCAAGCCAGAAAGTGGAGGGGGGAGACAGACTACCGGCTAAAATACCCTACTATCATAAGAGAGGGATTTGTATCTCTCTTATACCCGTGTATCATAATAATGGGCAGTGATTCATATCCAGCACAAACTAGTAAGAGTGGTGAGGGGTGCAGGGGACAAGTTTCCACAAAAAGCTTATAAACTCACCTGTCATCCTCTCCACAATTGTTGAGTTCCGTCCTTTCGCACGCCGCTTATATCACACTTTATCACTTATAATAATACACTGAACTAATATACAGTATACTATAACTTCACTATGAAGGTCACACATTACCAATATTAACTATTGTACAATACACCACATATTATACATTGTACTATACAGTACACTAGATCACTGTCATCACTGGAACTGTCGTCTTCATCACTAGAGCTGCAGTCATCTCCAAGTGATCTTATCAGTGGATCAAATTAATACATCAACTGTCGTGTCGAGAACCTACATGCGTTGTTCCTGTTTGTGGACACGCTGTAATGAACCTTTTTTTTTATTTTCGGGATTTCCAGATTTCATTTATATTTTAGTAATGAACTTATTTTATTTTGCTCCCGCTGTATTATAATTGTTTGGCGCACCGCGATTTTGCACACGGCCCACGAAGTCGCCGTTTCAACTTCTGAAGTTGCACACGGCACTACCAGCCGTTCTGTATAAAAGCAACGGAGTCACCTACACCAAGCAGTGCTTAGTAGGTCTTTCCACGGCACTCAACCCTCCTCTGGGTGTCCTAACCAGAGCGTTTAGCAGGTCTCTTCCGCGGCGCTCAAGGTAAGGTACACACCTGGACTCCGACTCCGGGTACTTAGCAGGTCTTGCCGCGGTACCTGACGTCTACGTCGTGGCCGACTCGGGGTGTTTAGCAGGTCTTTCCGCGGCACTCGGCGTCGTCACCGTCAGGATAGACGTATTGCCTTCGTGACAATAGGTATCCCGATGTTTATTTTATTTATATGGGTGGGGCATTATTGTTAATATTATATGTGTTTATAGACTGCGATTTATTTTGGAAAATAAAAGTTTTATTTATACCAAGTCTTGTAATATTCCCGAACCTTGGAAAACACTTCTCCACCGAGTGAACCCGGACTGTGACTGTACTAGTTCGACGTCTGCGACCGAACCTCGAAAGTACATCACAACGCATAATGCATTTACTCCATGTTTCTGCTGTAACCAGATTAATCTCACCCTGCAAGAGTAATGTTGGCGTTAACCGTGGCCTCGATAATTTGGGACCGAGGGGGGCTATCTCTCTTTGTCTTGCCTTATCTCTGTAGGCCTGGGCAGCCTCGTGAAGGTGGGCCCCGTCCATCGTCTACCCCGACCACAAGCTTGGCATGCGGGACCTCCCCTGGCTGACCCCCGCCGGCAGGGATACCTCTTCTGGCGCTCTTCGTGTCTTGATTTTCCTTTCTTCGCCAGTTTGTCTTGTCGTGGGGGTAGTCGTCGTGAGGAGTAGGTTTTTGGGAATACCTTGTAGCTAGGGAATGCACACGGGGAATCAGGTTAAGGTAGTCATCCCGGGTCAATAAGTAAATGTCTAGGGTCGTCTGTATGTGTCGGTAACGTCAGGTTCGAAGTCAATGGCAATGAATTGTCGTGTTTCGCAGCCGCGTCCATGCATTTTTGGGTGTGTGCACATATCGTCTGTGTCGCATTAGTGTATTTTAAGTCTCGCAAAGTGTCGGTGTTTTTTACGTACCATCGCGTGGCGGTGGCCGTACACAAGGCTATGTTTTCCGCAGCCTGGAGTGATTTAATGTGGCTTTTTGCCGCGAAACCCGACGTCGCGCAGGCGTAGGTTAGCTGCGGTTGAAGTACCACCTTGATTAGCGTTCGCTTATTCTTTAAACTTAGCTTGTTGCTCCCCTTTAGTAAAGGATAGAGCTTAGCCCTGGTGGTCCTCGCTCGCGCTACTGTCTCCGCGATGTGTGTTTTCCACGTAAGTCGCCTGTCCACCATCACGCACGCCCAGGTATCGCATATATCGGCCCCAGGAAAAGGGAATAGGTTCCTGGGACAGTCAGTATATCTAGGTCAGGAGGAATTTTGCGTCTAGTGAAGAGTATGGCAGTGCTTTTGTTGGGGTTAATTTTAAGTTTCCATCTGCTTTCCACTAGGTTTCAAGTTTGTTTAAAACGTTCTGTAAGAGTGTGGTAGCATGTGTTGCATTTAGGGATTGTGCTGTTATGGATAGGTCGTCGGCGTATAGGTATGTGTTTGTGTTGGGGGTGTGAGGTATGTCGGAGTTGTAAATAGTGTAGGGGTGTGTGGATAGGACGGAGCCGTATGGGACACCGGCCTCCATGGGATTAATTGTGGAAAGGGTGTTTTGGATTTGGATACGGAATTTTCGGTTGTGGAGATAGGACTTAGTGAGTTTGACAAAGGATATGAGGTATTCGTTGGTGAGCATTTTCATCAGTAGGCCCTCATGCCAAACCGTATGGAAGGCTTTTGCGACATCCAGGAAGACAGCTCCGGTGAACTACCTGTTGAAG